TCTGGTATATATAACTGGTTCGCAGCATTTCCACCTTTTCCTGTAGTTCCTGCAATTGTGATACCTTCTAATGAATCTGGTGAACAAAACATTTGTATACGATAATTCAAACAATCAACAACGTATAGATTGCCGTACTGATCTCGAGTAATCTGTTAGATAATTCAGTTGTAGAGAACTGTTTCCTTCTTTGTCATTAGCTGTTTTATCGACATAGAATCCTTGCGGATAATTTAACTGATTGTTAGAATTTCCTTGTCCATTCCCTCCAGCCACAACTTGATCAGTTGCTGATGGCTGCAACGTCCATTTTGTGACACGGTGATTATATCTATCCACGACAAACATTGTGCTTTGATGAGTCCATAAACCTTGTGGAAAACTGATTTCATTTAGTTCTGAACCAAACGACCCATTTCCAGCTACAGTCACATCACTCTTCTCTTTGTTTAACCATAACTCTATACGATCTTTAGCTGAGTCAGATATATATAGATTTTGCTATTGATCAACGATAATACCCATTGGATTTGAGAGTTTTTCTGGTGTTGAACCAAGTGTACAATTTATACCACCAGCAGCGATTGTTGTTATTTCACTACTACTACCGTTAAGTAACAATTGTTGCACATGATTATTATTTGTATCGACTATATGGAGAATATCAGTAGTTGAATCAATATAAATTGCTATAGGAAAATTTAATTGATTTTGTGTACAACCAAATGAAGTATTACCAACTAGAGTGATAGCAGTGATATTCCATTTGAAATTACCTGGGCCTAGCAGTATGATACAAACTGTAATAAAAGTTCAGAAAATTAGAGTTTCATATTTACAATTATCAGAAGCCTTTAATGACGGAACAAACTTTTGTTCAACTATATGAGAAAACTTGATAATAGGGTTTCTGGAAAATCTGAAGGCTGGGAAACCAAGTCTTTCGTTTTTGGTCAGAAAATTTTACGTACCATATAGCCGTACAGAGCAAAGAATTCTGAGCAAAATAAGATATCTCCCGGCTGTCTATAACGCTGTTTCACCCAACTGTAATCGATTTAAGAATGGCTACAAAGGGTGTGAAAATTATCAAAATGTTTCGGTCAAAAGCGTTATAGACAGCCGGGAGATGTCTTATTTTGCTCAGAATTCTTTGCTCTATAAGGCTATATGGTTCGTAAAATTTTCTAACCAAAAATGAAAGACTTGGTTTTCCAGAAATCCTATTATCAAGTTTTCTCATAAAATGACGATGTGCACCTCATCCGATAGAAAAAGCTTAGCACTATTCAAAATACTTTTCAGATTGGTTCCAGCTTTTACTGAAAAATCAAAAACAAAGAAGTTCTTCTGATTATGAAACACTGCACTGTATATATAACACTGCATATATCTTTTGCATATCTTTAATGACTGATTCCACCTGTCTAGATATTTTGACCACTTCAGTTTGTAGAGAATTGTTGGCGGGCTACACACTGGTATTCTTTTGAAAAATATATAGTTTCCAGTCAAGACATTCTAACTGGGTCAGTTTGTAGAGAATTTCGCGGGCTATCTAGTTGTGAATAGCTAGAAATTTGTATCCCTTTTTGGCAAGATTTTCTNCCAGTCAAGACATTCTAACTGGGTCAGTTTGTAGAGAATTTCGCGGGCTATCTAGTTGTGAATAGCTAGAAATTTGTATCCCTTTTTGGCAAGATTTTCTCACCAATGACCTTTCGACGTTCAATATCGTCGTGTATACTATATATCTCACGTTATTTTCTCATCGTTATTCATGCTTGTTTATTATTCAATTCAACAATCTCAAATGCGTAATAAGTTAAAATCAAAATCATTTTCCTCTCTCATCCCAAAATCAGAATATCAATCATTAAATATTAAACAATACAATATAAATAAATGTCGAAATGAAAATATTCATTTAGATTTTATCAATATTTCAAACTCGATGAAGGATATAAATGAACGACAAATATGGAATAACAATTTGGAAACAGTAGAAAATTTATTAGAAGAAAATGCGCAATTTCGAATAAAATTAGAATCAGAAGAATCAAAACTATTGCGTTTAAAATATCAAATTGAAACATTACTAAATCGTATCAATTTTTTAGAAGATGAAATCGATACATACGAGCAAGAAACAAGTGATTTAAGACAAAAAAATCAAATAATAATGACTAAATAATCAAAATATAAATTGAATTCGTCTCATCTAATGAACACTTACTTATATATATCAGTTTTCAAGCAACCTATTTTTAATAAACATTAGGATAAAGATAATCTTTCATCATTTAAAGAGGATTCTAGTGAATAGACATGAGATACGTTCGTCTTGAATCATTACAATAGAGCTCTACTATTTAGTGCTTTTTCTTTATCTCGCATACGACAACATTCGACCACATTTGTTAAAGTAGAATGAAAAAGGAAAAAGACTTTTTTACCATGAGAATGAGTCATCACTTTAAAACGATCATCTACACGAATTGTTCTATTGATGACACATAAGAGCTCTACCGTTTAACGTATCTTTATCTTTTTCTTGATGTCGCATGCAGATATCTGTATGTCAGACATAAGGATACATACAGAAAAGAAAGCATAATCCGCATGCGACATCAAGAAACAGATAAAGATACACTAAACGGTAGAGCTCTATAGAAAAAGAAAAAGATGCAGACAAAAAGATACAACACCATGCAGACATAAAAAAGATGCAGATAGAGCGCTCTACTTATATGACGTCATTCCTTTCTGCAGAACAATTCCATGAATCAGTTCGTCCATCATATTTAACCCTTGTGCTACCAAGCGGGGTCCAAATGGACCCCACTGCAGAAAACAGACATTAAACGGAAATATTTTAGTATCTTTCTTCTTTCAAACATATGGATTCAAATGGTGATATAGATAGTACGAGAGACCGGCTACATGATGTACTATAGGAGCGGACTCTGTCTGTCTATATAGATTTTCACAATTAAAACAGTTTTTCCTAGCGAAAACAGGTTTTGAGCGCTTTCCAATGTTTCGCATTTCCTAACCAAGAGATTTGCGTTAAAATGGAAACAAAATACACCAATCGATACAGAATTTCACGCTCTGTTTGGCTAGCTAGTTGGACAAATCATAGACATTGTTTTTTCCGTCGAAATAATTAAAAAAGAAAAATGAGTCGTGTTTTCCTTTATTTTATACTTTATTTTGGAAACAGAGACGTGAAAAACCGATGATATTCGAACGTCAAATACACAATTTTCTTCAGTTTTGGATGCTCTCTCACTCCAATGGTGCATAATACATCCCGATACGATGGAATTTTAAGGTTCTAATCTTACTTTTTCCGTATTTTTCGACTATTCTCACTAAAATCAGGTTTTTTGAGGTGAAGATCGGCTTTGGGAACGAAATTTGTTTTAGAAACTGATAGAGCGTGAAATTCTCTATCGATTGGTGTGTTTTTTTTGCATTTCAACGCAAATCTTTTGGTTAGGAAATGCGAAATGCTGGAAAGCGCTCAAAACCTATTTTCGCTAGGAAAAACTATTTTAATTATGAAAAATCTATATAGACAGACAGAGTCCGCTCCTATAGTACATCTTGTAGTCGGCCTCTCGTACTATCTATATCATTATTTGAATCAGGTCCGTACCTCTTAATGTGAAAGAAAACTTCAAAAAACAAATTATTTATAGGCTTGGTAGTACAAGGGTTAA